GAGAGAAAGAAGGGGGGAAGATAAATTAATGATGGATTATTCTCAGAGAGTTTGTCCTTGATTTTGCTAAGCACTTGGACTTGTTACTAACCTGGGCCAACTTTGGGTTAATGCCTTGGCTTCTAGTTTTTCAGACCATGTAGACTGTGGGCTGGAACCTGGAATCAATGATGGTAGGCTTCACACAGTTTCCACTTCTCAGATGGTGTCTTTATTCCTCCGCCTAGATGTGTGGAGAAAACAGACAAACTTCAGTGGTCTCTCTCTGCCGAGAGGGAGAGATTTTTCTGGCCTTCCATTCAGAGTGTGTGGAGAGAGGTCCTGGCTGAACTTGAGAGGAGGCAGTTCCGAGGACGTGAGTCATGTAATTAAGAGGAAATGTTTGCACTCTCTTACGAAAATATTACTCACTGATCTCAATACCATTTCATAAACTGTAAAGATGCTGTGAGGATTGTGTCACTGGGAGATCCAACTGGGAATCCTCCATTCCTGTCCCAGTAGGAAACAGAATTTTGTTCCCTGCCCTTCACTGTTCTTTTTCTGTTAGAAGTCAAATGCTTCCAAAGAAGGTAACAGCTAGTTTATCTCTCTTGCTTTGGTTCCTTGTTTGATTTTTCAGCCTGGAGGATTTCCCTTTTCTTGATTTGGGAAGTGTGGTTGGTTAACATAATGTTTTGGCATTTAGTTCTGGCTGGCCTTGAGTACACTGTCTAAGGTACTTTGAACTGAAAGCCCTCCCGCTGTCTTATCTCCAAGTTCTGGCTTGGTGATGCCTGGTTGAAGAATTCCATTTTCTTTCATAGAAAATGTGCTTTGCATTTAAAAAAAATAATTTATTCAGACTCTAGATGTTTGGGTAAAAGGTATGCTCAAAACAGTTTGCTCATCCCACTATTAGTAGAATAGCTTCCTTCCTATTCTACTGTTGTTTTTTTTTTTTTTTTTCTTCTTCTTTTAGATCCTTCTTAATATTCAAAACACAGCAGAGGGCTGGAAAGACAGTTCAGTTTAAGCCAAAACCCATGTAAATAAAAGCCAGGTGGGGCATAGCTTAGAGGAGGAAGAGACAGGATTCCTGGGGCTCACTAGTCAGCCTAACCTACAGGGCACATTCCAGGCCAGTGAGACATTTTATCTTTAAAAAGGTGTATGACAGCTGAGATTGTCCTCTGTCCTCAACAACCACATGCATGCATGTGCACCAGCACACACAGAAACATGTACACACACAGCAGAAATGCTGTCTTCTACACACAACCTGTGCCGATCTCTCTGCGTGACAAGTAAGCACCTGACTTGCACTTCTCTAGTTCTTTACTTCTATAGTATAAAGGTTTAGGAAGGTACCTGAAGTGAATGAGCGATTCACTTCACCAACTGCAAGAACAGGGATCATCCATCATCACTTAATACTGCCTGAATGAACAAAAAATGAACATCAGATCATCTTAACTCTAGTAGCTGGTCTTGTATTTTCTATTTCAATAAGCAGCAGTATCATTTCTCAGATTCTTGGGACTCCACAGTCACTCATGCGGAGAAGGCTCTCTTCAAAATCCTCATGTTATCCCTAAATAATGACAATTCTATTCTGTGAGTCACTTGTTCCTTTCTTCCATCCTTCTGCTCACTGTCCAGTGTACCCACTCTTGTTTAGATTCTCCATTTCTGTTGAACTGCTCCCCCCCACACCACAAACCACTCCATCTGCATTTCCAAATTAACTATTCCCCTATATAACACCTTTTAAAAAGTAAAACTATATGACATTGGGCAAGCCCCAAAACTCATCTGAGGCAGCTTCTCCTGTGACAAGTGGAGGTATTTTGAGCACAGAATGCACCATGCATGCAGTACTAGAAAAGGACATGTACCTATTTAAACTAATATGTAATAAAATTGCAAATTTCAGTTCCTCTATTGCATTCATCACAATCCAAATGCTCAGAGCCAGTCTGGTGGCTGGCAACAAGACAATAAAAGTACAGAACATTTCCTTATGATGGAAAAGTTCCAGCAGACGATGCTAGATAGTTATTGTAAAAGTTACTGTGACAAGGGAAGGAACCAACACAATGGTGATGCAATGAGTACTCGCTTTTAAATAGTCAAATACTTTAAAGCTACATTTATGTATCTGTGGTGCGTGTGTGTGTGTGTGTGTGTGTGTGTGTGTGTGTAAGGGGGTACATGCCAAGTGGCCAGAGAATAAATTTCAGGACTGTTTAGGAATGTTTTCTCCTTCTATTACGTGTGTCAAAGGGATTGAACTCAGGTCTTCAGACTTGCTGGCGATTATGTTCCATGCTGAGCCATTCTAAAGTCCCAGTATTATTTGTTAAGCAGTCTAAAAGAATAGCTGTTTCAGTGAGGTTTGCTAAAATACTAAGTCAGATAACAGATGTTAGGAACTACTATAAGTGGTCAGTCAATACTTGTTCCTTTTTACAATGTGAAAGATAAATTACCTATTTTATGAGTTCCCAAATTTTCCGTCTTCAGAACGGCACAAGCTTGTTTCTTTCGCAAATCTTGAAATCTATGTACAAAGGAAATATGTTATTATTTCAACCACATGGTTTTAAGTAGCACAGTTCTTAGTCAACAAGCAGTATCTGGGGCCTGAACATTAGAAAGCAGCATTATGAACAAAATGTTTTTTTCTTTATAGAGCTGATGCTTGAAATTTTTAATACCGCTCACATAGTTAAAAAAAGTTTTAATTGTAGGAAGTCAATTTTCTTATTGTTTAGCACAGCAGACATTTCCCTAACCCCTAAACACACTGTGTGTTTTTTTTTTTAATCTCACAATTATGACTTCCCAGTTATTGGATTTCAGGCAATTTAACTTAATTTCTGAGATACAGTATTCTAATTTGAAATATGAGTATAAAATACTACAATGATTTATAAATTTTGTAGTCATAAATAGCCATACATGGCTGGGCATAAATTTCTTCGAGGTATGATGTATTTGTATTTCTTTAGGCTTTTAAGATTCTAGCAGCTTAAACGGACAGTTTAGAGGCAAGGCAGGGCTTAACATGCTGTAACAGTCCGCCAGAGACAACGGAGAAACTATAATGCACAGGATGGGTGAGGAAGACTACTAATTGCCCGTGGCCTTCACCTCCAAAAGCTAAAGTCTGAGAGCAATTTCAGACCAAGTAGATTAGAATTATAGAGGTTAACCATTTTAAGAAACAGTCGAGAATCCTTTTAAAGACACGCAAAGCAAACAAGAGGTCTTAAGTTCAATTTCCAATACCAAAAAAGAGAAAGTTTTAAAATTACTTGAAGTTAAAATGTTAACCAAGTATTTTGCATCTCTCGCCCATCTTCTCTGCTTCCTTTGAAGATCCATGAATCAGAAATGCTGTTAAATTTTTTTTTCACATTATAAAGAGTCATTGGTAGTAAGATGAACTTCTTTATGTTGTCCCATCTAAGTGGCGACAGCTAAAGAATATAAAAAATGCGAACCCTGGATGTTCCAAGTGAACAAACAGGGGGCCCCGGGCTCGTTTTCAGAGATACACAGGACCATCAGGTCCCAAAGAAAGCATAACTTTCCTGAACTCTAATATGGCCTCTTGACAAATGTGGTATTATCTAATGGCTAATCCTAAAGCCTCCAATTACACGGCCAAGAAATGAGACTTTGAATTTGTCGCACTTGGGTACTTCTTTATAAATGAAAATTGTGAAAACTTATTCCTGTTTCGCTGTTGTTCAAAGGACGGCGACTGCCAGGATTCACGGGACTAGTAATTTCCTTTCAGATGGGGGCCACTCCCTGAAACACAATCAAGGGCTGCAGACTGAGCTCTGGGTAAACACAAGGTCAAGTTTCGAAGTTCCCCAGCCCCCACCAGCTAGAAATAAGGGCTCAGGGATGACAAAAGGCACTCAAAGGTTTCGTTAGCTGCTTGAACAAAAGCAGAGTGTTGTTAATACTTTTTTTTTATTTCTCCCTCTTATACCCTCCTCCCCCCAAGTCTGGTAGTACAAGAGCTGAGCTGTGCCTGGGACAAGGCAAATAAAAGCGACACTAAGCTTGACACGAAGCACCACTTGGGGGCACGCTGGTGGTAGAGGTTCCAAGGAGAGAAAAAGTGGGGCGCGGAGGCCTCAGCCTGGTCGTCCTCCACCGCGACCTGTGGGTTCCCGGAGCTGGCCCGAGAAGGGTCCTGTGCACCATGAAGTTCTCACGGGGCCAGGTGAGGCGCGCGCCCCGCGTGGCGATGGGGGCTCGCGCGGCGCCCTCGCCTGAACCTTGAGAGCCATCTTTCGATACAGCCTCCAGTTAGTCACCCCGGTTCGGGGCTAGGCCAGCCATTCTCCCCCACCCACCTCTAGGTCTTCCTTTCCTGTCCGGGACCCGCCAGCTCCAGCCTCAGGATGCAGACCCAGGCCGCTACGGGAGTCAGGGCGGAGCCCCGGGGCGCGCTCCCGAGCAGCTCGGAGACGCGCAGCAGCCCTCGCCGAGCCACCGCTTTACGGCTATCGTGAAAGTGTCGTGAATGTGCTGCCGCCTATCCGTCACTCAGTCGCCTGGGCTCGGAGTTGCTTTTTCTAGGCTTGTGCTTGTTGGGTCGGGGTAAGGCTGCGGGGGCCCGGCCTGGGCAAGTGGCGGGGATGTCGCGGACGGGGTGGGGTGCGTTTCTCCCGGGAGGAGTGGAGCAAGCGCTGGAGGCTCTGGGCTGCACATAACTGGGTGACTACGGACGGACTAGTTGAGGCGACCGCCGTCCTTGCTGGCGCCCGGTGGCCTCGCGCGCGGGGTTGTGGGGAGGGCGAGGGGAGACGCTGGCGGTGCTGAGGGCTCTGGAGTCGGAGGTGGAGGGGCGCCTGCGCGCTGTGCGAGAGCCGCGGGTCGCGGGAGTCAGCACCCCAGGGTGGTCCATGACGAGCAAAGGGCTGGGGCGCTGGCTGCGCGGAACCGACCTTGCCTGGCAAGTCCACACCCTCCTGGCCCGGTGCTGCCGAGTCCACGAACTGTGTAGCATCCTGTGCGGTCTTTACCTTCCCTTTGGAAGGCGGCGATGAATGTTTCCTGGCTTGGGCCACGCTTCTTGTTCAGCCAACTTTTCTAGAAATTTCAGCCCATGTTGACAAGCTCAGAGATTGCCAGCTAGAGTTTATTTCAGTCGCGTTCTTAGAAGGAGATTGCCGGGGTTTGCCTCTGTTCCCAGGAACGCCTGGCTGAACCTCAAGTCTTAACATCTTACCGAGTTTGACTTTTGCTCTTCGGTGCTTGGCATATTGTTGCCAGTTTTTGCCATGTTGTATCATTGCTATAGAATATATGGTTTTGCTAAAACTCTTCAGGCACCAGGTAACAGTCCATAGTTGCTTTTCAAGAAGTATAAGGGCTTTATCCGTAAGTAGTTAGAATAGTTCCTTCCTACTTTAGGACTGTCAGTGATGTGTTCAAATACGTGTGTTGAATTGACTGACTCAAACTCAAGGTAAACGGTATACGACATTTGGAACATAACCAGTTTAAGACTATTGGTGTTGGAAGCATTCCAGAAGTTTGAAGTTACAAAATTATTTTGCTGTGTATTAATCTATGCTGAGAAACTCTTAAGTTCCTTGTACAGCTCAACTGGTTTTCCTTTGTAAGAATCTTAGAAGCTTTAGGTAAATCTGCCTCTCAGATTACCACCAAGTGCATTTTATTGCATAGCACTTCCTTTTCTAGGCTACATAACTTGCTCTTTAAACTGGCTAGAAACATATGATTCCTTGCATGAAAAAGGTGTCATTCTTTTTTTCTTTTTTTTTTTTTTTTTTGTATTTTTGTTTTTGTTTTTCGAGACAGGGTTTCTCTGTGGTTTTGGAGCCTGTCCTGGAACTAGCTCTTGTAGACCAGGCTGGTCTCGAACTCACAGAGATCCGCTTGCCTCTGCCTCTCAAGTGCTGGGACAGAAAAATGAATAAGACTTCAGGCTCCCCACCCACTTATGAAAGTTATTTCCCTTCTTAAGAAACACAAGATTTCACTTCAGCAAAGCACCAGCTATAAGCTGTGTTACACAGTATTGTTGGCTTCCAAGTGTACAGAAAAAAGTCCCCCCCCCACAAACTTGTTTTATGTATCATTCGTTAAATGTTAAACATAATAATTTTATGATACATAAAAATAAGATACAGAACAAATAAATCATTTGTTTAATAATGCTGAGCTTCATCTTGTGATCTTATTAATTTTCTTTTCTTGCTGCTGTTTTTCTTTCTCTTTCCTTTGCTCTTTGTTCTAGGGTCCCTTTCTTAATAGTTCTGCTCTTAGTATTTTACTGTAGTGGTGGCAGAGGTGGGCAGGCTATATCCTACTGGATTCCCCTGACAAGATTGCAAACATACTGCTGAATCAATGCAGAGAAAAACTTGGCACCCTTAAACATGGTGGGGGGGAGGAAGAAAAGTTCTAGAATTTCACACAAGTTGGATATTGCTTAAGTTTATCTTACGATCTGCTCAACAGTTGAGTTTTCTGTTTCTGCTTTTGCTGTTTTAAAAAAACGTGATATTTATCAGATGCATGGATCTCATTTATGACAGGAATAAGGTGGGTGGGATGCTGTTATATATGTTCTTACATGAATGACTTGAAAACTTACAAATTGACTGATTTTTAAGTAAATGTGTTCATTAAATATCATTTCTCTGTTGAACATATATATATGTATATATATATATATGTATATGTATATGTATATCCATGCCTACTGAAGGAAAATGCTTTGTTAGGTAACATCCCCTTTATGCTCCAAAAAGCTTATTTCCTGGCATATGATATAATTTAGTTGAGGACAAAACCCACTCAGCCCCCACTCACACAGCCTTTGCATTTCTTGAGAGTGTAAAGCATGTCTTTCTAGGCCTACAACAACCAAATGCTCATTAAATACTAGAAGAATGATATTCAGTAAGTATTGATTTTCGTTCTAATGTCAAATACGGTATAAGATTACGGGGGAAATAATGTTAAGACAGGAATGATCCCATGGTCATGGAACTTGGGAGAGCACTGTGGGGGCAGGAGGTAAAGACAAAATCAAGCTCCACAAACAGAAAATTTTCAAAGTAAGATAAGGGCTACATGAAAGCAGGGCACTTGAGCCAGGTTGTCACAGGAGGGAGGGTGTTTACTGAGTACAAGGGGAAAGGTTGCGGTAGCTATTAATATTATAAACTGAATTTCCACAAGCAACCTTTTTTTTCATTTAAAATTACTTTCATAATTATGAAAACCTGTTCTCACTTAACAGGCTGTACTCTGAAATTGTAGGTTTTGTTACAAGTTCCTTGGCAGTTTTCCGCTAAATCAAAATAAAATCTAGTACTTTACCATAGCTTATGAACCTCTGCAGTCACTGATGCTTCAGACTTCATTTTCCTGTCTGATTTACTTTTGTTCTGCCTTTGTGGTCTCTCGGGTACCTGAACAAGGTACACTTCTTCATTCTCCATTTCTTGGACTATTTATTTATTTATTTATTTAAGATTTCTGCCTCCTCCCCGCCACCACCTCCCATTTCCCTCCCCCTCCCCCATCAAGCCCCCCTTCCTAGTCAGCCTGAAGATCAATCAGGGTCCCTGCCCTGTGGGAAGTCCAAGGACCACCCACCTCCATCCAGGTCTAGTAAGGTGAGCATCCAAACTGCCTAGGCTCCCACAAAGCCAGTACGTGCAGCAGGATCACAAACCCATTGCCATTGTTCTTGAGTTCTCAGTAGTCCTCATTGTCTTGGACTATTCTTTATCCTACTCTTAAAATACCTAGTTCCTTCTTTTCTTCTGAGCTGGTCATAAAAGGTTCTTTGCTGACTTCCACCACTATTTAAAATGTATACTTCCAACTCTTCTCTGCCTCAACACTTGATTTTCTGTATGTCTGTTATACTTTGTAGGGCTAGTGCTTGCTTCTCAGGTTTTAATATTTGTTGGGTGTGGGATCTTAGACCATATGTGTCTTGTTCACTATACCCACATAGTAGACACATTTGGAACTTAGAACTTTTCTCTTGTAAGCGCTACTTTGGTGTCTAGGCTAATCAACAGTAACTTTTACTTTGCTGGGGCTTTTTGTTGTTGTTGTTGTTGTGATTTTAATTTCTTATGTAGTAAGAAAGATGCTTTCTATATACCTTTTTGGACATAGGACTGACTCCACACAAAATTTTCAAGCAATTCAGATACCTTTTGGTAATATTTGTAATGTCATCCCAATTTCCATTATTGTGCTCTTTGATCTTCCTCTTCTAAGCTTCCTTTTGCTGCTGTCTGATCCTTTGACATAATTAGCTTTTAGTTGGATAAAATTCAGAAACTCTTGGTTTGTTGTTTTCCCATTGGCAGTAGCCTTCTCCCCTGGGATTATGGAAGGAAAGGTGGAAATGACCTGGAGCCCTGTCAGCCACCTCTCTGGCTATTGGCATGAGTTGAAAGTAGAGTAGCCATCAGTAGTCAGTGGCTGCTTGTGCCTGAATTCACAGTTACAGTGCTGTTACTAGTAGCTTTACAGAGACAGTGTTGCCAAATTGAAAGGTTCAAAAACTCATTGCCTTTTTAAAATGTATGACTTACATAATGGCTAGGTAAGAAGCAATTTGTCAAAAATGTGTATTTTTAAAATGAATAGTAAAAGGTTAAAAGAAATTAGGCCACGAGGGGAAAATTCAGAAGAAAAGTATCAGTTTGTCAGCTAGTCCTGCCAAATGCTTAAACTTAAAACCATTAGGATCAATTGCTTGTAGCTATTCAGTGCTAAAATAGGCTAGTAGTCTCTGTGTACTGCCTTTAAAAGACAGTAAACAGAAGACAAATGAGAACCAAACAAACTGGGCCAACAAAATAAAAATTGACCCAACTAAACTTTTATTTATTTCTCTTTCAAGTGGAATTCCCTAAGAGCTGATTATAAATTGCTGAATATAAAAAAGGTATTATCCAGTTTACTATATAAAAATTGGCTATTGTAGCCAAACATGATGACAGGTGCCTATAATACTAACTCCCAGGAGGCCGAGACTTGAGGATTCAAAGTTCCAGGTCAGCTTGGACTACCTAGCAAATTCTAGGCCAGCCTGAGCATGCAGAATGATAGCCCATCTCAAAATATGAAAGGAGGGAGGAGAGACTAAAGAAGTAAATTTAACTACTCTAAAGTAGGTGATTGATGATCATATTTCAATCAAAGTGATAAACGATAGCATAGTTTTGTTTTAATATTTTTTAAATATTGCTGTTGTACACCACCTCAGTTGCTTAAATTGCATCTCTGTTTATTCTCTAGAGGTTTTTCCTTTTTTTTTTTTTTTTGGAAATTTGCTTAACTGTTTTTTTCTGAAACAAAAAATTATAGATACATGATTGATGAGTGACAGAGGATTAAGACACATAAGTAACATTAAAGTTTTGGGAAGTAATATGTATAGGGATATAGAAGAGAGGTCCTGGTCTGTATGTGACAATAACATTGT